AGCCGCATTGTGGTCTTCCAAGTTCGGTATGTGGCTGCTATACGGAGACATCGCGGAGGTGTAAGTAGCGCACAAATCTTGGGTCGAGCACAGCGGTTTACCGAGGTGCTCGGTGGGTGAGGGGTGCTGGTGTTGAACTGCGACCTAGATACTTGTGCGCAGGTCCTTCTGTCAAGGCGCACGAGTGGTGTTGCAAACACGCCGGGTAACTTCGATGAGGTCAAGGACGGGCATAACAAGCCGCTGTCTATTTATACTAAAGCGTGGGAACAGCGCGTGCACTCGCAGCCAGTGAACTACTAGAAATATGTAAACAAGCAGCAGACGGGGCCAGGTGGGAAATAAGACAAAGATCAGCGGTCGATTGAAGAACGCCTGGACATGGATGAGACGGTGTTACACGAATGCACGACTTGGCCGGGCCACACCGCGCGGGGGCTTATGGCCGTGCGCGCGATCTCCGAAGGCACAGGGCCAGACAGAAAAGCTGCCTCGATCGAAGATCCGTTGCCTCGCGGAGATGCCACTTCGATGCAGTAATGGAGTTGAGGCTTTGTCTGGAACTGTTATGTGTCCGTCAAAGCCGCTATCCCATGAGACAAATCTGCGGCGATGGATAACAACTCTATTGCTTCTCTCAAGAGGTGCCTCCAGGACCACCCAAAGTGGTCTCATAATCGTATACTGTCACAGCCTTTGCCATTTCGGAAGACACGACTTGTCGTCGCGGTCTGGAGATCACATCAGTCAACTGTAGGATTAATACTTGAATATCCTCACCAAAGTTGAGTTCAGGGTCGCATGCGCAACGTCCAGTCACGTATGCGGTCCCTTGCGGGCAATGTTGCATGTCCCCAGAACGGAAACCGACATTGTCCAAGAAGAGTACCTTCTGTTTCGGCAGAAACAAGGACAATGCAATGCTCATTATCGACGCGCCCGACCATCGCTGAATGCCATGTCAGTCATATGAGTGCAAGTCAGTGAGGAGCACTGTTCCGCACCTCGTAATATATGCCTCCTTTCCTGTCAAGGTAGTCAAAGAACGCCAGATAGTCTGCGCTTCTCAAAAAGTCCATATCAACGATTTCCAAGCTATTGTCATCTGGGGCGATATGTGTATCAGGGAAAGCGAAACATGCGTGACATACGTACAGTAGCACAGATTATAGTTGTCTTCATCGTCAGTCACGAACCCAGCCAGGTTCTTCTTAGTTCTCAACGGGAGTTTGCGTTCATCCGCAAAATCTGACCCTTCTCAGGGCCTGTTCCAAGAACTCGTCTGGCTACGCACCATATACCGCCTCCCATAGGGTGTAGACCGCCTCTATCATATCGAGGGGAGCTAGGCTGAATGCTATGCAATATAAGCTGACAATAGTGAGCACTGTGATGTGGATGAGCAGCACCATATGCTTTGTCCTGGTTCCGCATCACTTGGAAGAGGTCCTGGTGAAAGTTACAGTAATACTGTGACCCTGGCCTTGGGGGTGGTTAGCTGCACGGATTCCGCACGACATCCAACTTACTTACTCGATCCTCCAGTAGTATCTGTATGGTCTGAGGATCTCCTCCCTAGCAAGAAACTGAAGGATAATTAAGCCGAGGCCGCACACGGAATGCGTGTGACCTCACTCCGGCACTGAATCTACTGACGTCCCGGAAACTACAGAGAATAAGAAAGCAGTATGTTTGCCAATTGAGAACATACCGGGTGCTGTCTACTCATCGCGGCGTAGTTAGAAGTCGCATACATCCACCGGAGAGAACGGAGGAGCGCACTTCCGTGGGGTATTCGCTGCCACCCCATGGACTTGCGGATATGCTCGGCCCTGGTAGCGTTAATCCACGAAGGAGCTCCCCAATGTTCTGGGGAGATTACCCCGAACCTGACCGGAAAGTCCGACATGGCAGAGACGTGCCTGCAACGGGATGTGAGACGGAGGGATCTAGTACAAATTAGGAGCGAGATGGGATGACATCTTGAATTCATCGGAAAACGGCTTGTCGTTCAAGAAGGCCCAGGTGTATCCGGCCCGGGCGTTGAACCTGTCCTCGAGCTGCTGCATGGTGGGAAGGACGGCAGCGAGGTCAGAGTCCTGGCAGATGACCAGAAGGACGGCATCTGAGAGATGGCCAGGAGTGAGATCGGAGAGGGGTAGCGGGGAGGTGCGTCTGAATGTATTCGGCGAGAGACGGGAAAGGTACGCCTGATGTGAGCAAGTCAGCCGGATTCCCTACTATGGCGAGAGGAAAGGACGTGCCAAGAGCAAGGCGGAGGAAGCAGCAAAGAGAAAAGAGATGGTCCAGCGACGGATGATCGGAGGGAACATCGTTCGCCGAATCTTGATGCACTGATCGGGTGCGATGAGCTTAGCGAGGCCCAGCGAGAGGGGCGACAAGGCGACACTCTTCGGCGTGCTCGCGAATTGAGGAGGGGGACTCGGGTCCAACACGCAGAGTCTGTGAACACGTCTACTTGTATTATAGCGCACTGGGAAGCCCACTTTCTCACCAACCACGCTCTTCTGAGCTCCTATTACCATGCCACCCAACCTTGGCCCGCGAAAGACCCGCCGTTGTCTCGTTCGTCGTCTCCAATCCTGAATCTCCCTGTCCGTTCGCACTCACCCCCCGCCCCCGCGCCCCAGTATTTCGACGAGAGCGGGACCCGCCTCCACGCACGCGGCTACCACGGCTGCCCTCGCTCCGCTACAGTTTGCAATTTCATCCACCCATCAGACCCGGAATGGCCCACAGTTGTCTCGGGTGGTCCCATACCTGAGAATCGTCGGCGCTCGCGCGAGGCCTCGCCTCTTCGCACCCCGTCGTCACCCCGCCACAGAAACGACAGTTTATCGTCTGTCACACACCAACACAATCCTAGAAGCCCACGATCATTAGCACGGCCGCCTCCGCCTCGTGCTCCCGCTTACAGCCTAGATCCCGCTCGACAGCACACCTCTTCGCGTAGTCCCCTGGACCGCCCACACGGCAATTCACCGCGTCGACGTTCCCGCTCTCCGTCCCCCCGCCGTCCCGCAGTCTTTGACGCTCGCACACGTCCCCGTTCCCGCACACCTCCGCCACTCCGTCCGTCCCTTCTCGAACGGATTGAGCGCAACGGCCCTGCCGGCCGCTCTCCCATCAAGGAAGAACCTGCAGCAGCCCCGAGCAAAGCCTCTTGGAACCGCCCTCCCCCCCCTTCACCCCGTCAAGCTCACACAATGTCCCCCAATACTGCACCGACTACCCAGGCAAGGCCTTTTGCCGCCCCTCCCCCTACCCCTGCCCCTGCACCAGCCTCAGCCCCCGCTCCGCCGCGTGCAGAACAGGCACCCGGCCCATCGGCACCGCGCAAGCTCTCATGGGCCCCTTTGCCGCCTCCGCCTCCGCCGCCGCCTCCGCAGATGCTACCGCCTCCAAAGGAGGAGATGACCCAGGAACAGCGGCGCGCTGTATGGGAAAAGCGGATCATGTGAGCATAGATGCATCCTCGGTTTCGCCTGTTGTGCTTACCTTCCATCAGCTTAATGGCAGACGCCACCCGAGATTACATGGACCTCGGAAAGCTGGACCAGGATGTGCTCGCCCGTCGGCGCCAGGTCCAGGCGATTGGTTTTGAGTCTCTCCCCGAGGTCATGCGGACTTCGTTCACATCAGGCCTTGCCGCCGCCGAAGCCATTCGGGAAGAGAAGAAAGCCTCTTTGGACGGCGCGATGGTCCGCCTGGCCGAAACGGACTTTTGGCCCATCATTCCTTCCCAGCGGGTCGGCGAAGTAGAGAGCAAGCTGAAGGAGGCAAAGACGATGCTCGGCGCGCTGGCGGACAACGTCAACCGGCTGCACAAGCGGATCGAAGCTCTGAACAAGCTACATCCGAGCAGTCTCGGCGCAGTGCAGCAAGACCCCGACAGAGACGTGATGGAGGTGGACGACGAGGAAGGGGCCATCCCCGCTAACAAGCGGCGGCGGCGCCCCTCTGCTGACGGTGCGGCCGCCGCCGCGTCGTTAGAGATGCGCGAGAACGTAGACTCTATCAAGAACAGCATCCGCGAGATCGAGGATCGCCTGCTCGAGATGGAGAATGACATGCACCAACACTCCCGCGACGTGATGGAGCAGGTCGAACTGAGAATAGACGAGAAGATCGACGAGTTCACGCAAAGCCCCGAGTTCGCTGTCCCGCGGGACAGTGAGCTTGGCCCACAAGCTACGGAAATGGTTGCATCGCTGAACGCGGGCTTCGCTCAGGCAGACCAGGAAATTGCAGAACTCGCGCAGGAGATGGCAGAGTTCATCCCTCGATTGAACGGGCTTCAACGCGAGAACGAGCGCATCAAGCAGGACGAGGCTGCGGACAGAGAATTGTTCAATCAGGTCCGTGGTCCTACCCCAGATTCTATTTTCACACTCACGGTCGGCCCAATTGTAGCTGATACAAAAAGACCGGGACCAGGCAGAAGCGATAGCGCGTCTCCAGGAGCAGGCGCGACAGTTACAGAGCGCCTTTGCCGCGCAAGCGCTCCGCACGATGCCAGCACCCTTGACGGATCCGCTACCCGAGTACGTTCTCGAGACGATCCGCGCGTCGATAAAGAAGCAAGTGCAGGACCAGGTGATCCCCATTCTCATGACCACTCGGACAGAGGTCGAGCACATAGCGAAGAGCAGCGAGGCGGAGCTGTTCGAGAAGCTCAAGGACAAGCTGGACCAGAGTGCCAAGATGACGCAAGTTCTTATGGCGTGGACGGAGCACGATCCCGAGGGTGTCCTGCGGGCGTTGCGCACTGCCATGCCGCGCACGCAGGGGCTTCAGGGCCCGGGTGTGCCTGCATAGGTGTTTGTAGCGTAGTATTGTTGTTTACGTTCATCCCCTGTATTTACTGTGATCGTAAGCTGCAGGATCAATTTCCCATTCGCAGAACACAACCTGGAAGCAAACGAGTGATACTGGCGCTGACTATTGGCTTTGAAGGGGCACGAGAACGGAACAAAAAGTGGACCTTCCGAGAATCGAACTCGGGACCCTTGCATGTATAGGCAGGCCAAGGCAACCTCATAAGTACAAAGCTCTACCGATTGAGCTAAAGGTCCAACGCCTTGAGGTCGCACCAATGCATCTACAACTCTCCCGCGCGGGACTTGGTTGTAAATAACTGTAGAGCGCCCCGGTCTTTCAATGTCGGCCGCTGACGCGACGAAGCATCTCTCTGCTGTCTTCTGATCATCCCCTCGCGCGTATTCAATTACGCGGCCACATGCGTCACGCACGAGAACCGCCACATCTCGTGGAATCCTGGGTGCATCCGCCGCATCTATCCTCACCGATGAGCTCGACGGCGCCTGGAAGCGCCACCGGCGCACCGGTGCTACGTGTCCTTGACACATTCGATGCATCACTACGAACGTAGAGGTGGGTCGCTGCGGCTCGCTCAACTGAAAGCATACCCTGCAATGACGGGCGTGATCCGGTACACGGCGGAGGCGTGGGGGCACTACTGTCTGCACGGACATAGCTCAGAGACCGGGAACAAGAATCGAATGCGTGTGTCTAGCGATACATCTGTAAGTTCATCTAATTTAATCTCCAAAACCCAAGAACAACGCCGCGCCGCCGCCTGCCATGTTACTGCTACTGCTGCTGCTGCTGCTGCTGCTGCTGCTGCTCGTCCGGTGCCTCCTCGTTGATGCCGGTGGGCGTCAGCTGCAAGAAGCGCGTGCCGACGCGGGCAGCCTGCTCCTCCGAGTGGGTGATCCACACGACCGCCTTGAGCGCCGAGTCCGCCCGGACCTCCTCCACCAGCGTGCGCTCGACCATCGCAGACGTCTCTGCGTCGAGCGCGGACGTCGGCTCTGCCCCGAGGCGCATCCGTCAGCATGAGCGGAAGCACGCCACGCCACGCAACTCACCGTCCAGCAGCAGCACCTCGGCGCTGTTGAGCCCGTGCGGGATCGCGAGCGAGAGCCGCTGCGCCTCGCCGCCGCTGAGCGAGCCCCATGGGCGGTCCCAGAGCTCGCGCCCGATACCCCACCGCTCCGCGAGCTCGAGCGCGCGCTCGAGGTGCAGCGCATCGCCCGTGATCCGCTCGGGTGCGAGGCGCGCGTGGAACGTCGAGAGCGTCTCGATCAGGTCGCGCGGCGTGCCGGGCAGCAGCGACGGCCGCTGCGGGACGTACTGCACGTAGGTCCTGTAGGTCGGGACGCCTGGCGGGGGGAGGGGGCGTCATGGGGGCGCGCACGGCGCGTAGCAGCGGGGTGCACGCACCATAGCTCTTTGGGGGCCTGCCAGGGCAGCGGCGAGGGCAGATGCTGAGACTCGGCTCTACCGGGACTGGAACGGAGACTTACTTTCCTCTGAACTCGACCGTGCCGTGGTAGAGGTTGAGGTGCGCGAGGCACTTGAGCAGGGTCGATTTTCTGCGAGCGGAGGAGCGTCCGCGGGATCAGACGGCGCTGCTGCAGGGTCGGGATCGATAATAGGGATGGAGCTTGGCTTACCCAGCGCCACTGCGTGCCTGTATAATGATGATGTCGCCCTCGTTCACATTGAAAGTTACGTTTGTGAAGATGGGGTCACCTTCTGGCCTTACGCAGGACAGATTTTTGACGACGACCAAGGAGGCCATGCCTTGCAGAGAGCTGCGGGCGTCAACTTGCGCTATGACGAGAAAAGGCGGCCTGTTCTCGGTCTCGATCAGCGTTTCCCACGCCTCGGTCCGCCCGAGCCTTCCAGTCGTTTCCAGCAGAGCGCGTGAGCAGGGGGCTTGTTTCAATAGCGAGAGGAACCAATGTAAGATGCTGTATGCATTAATCTAGCGTATCGACAATCGTAATGTGCCTAGAACGGCGCAGGCTGCCCTGGCGGCGGGACCATCCCCATCTCCTCGGGTGTTAAGCTCGTGCTCTCGATCATCACACTAACGCCGACCTTGGACGAGTTCTGGGGGAGGGAAAAGATTAGTATCACAAGGACAAGATATACAGCAAGAGAACATACTTTGAAGTGATCGATCTCCCCAGCAACCGAGAACGAAAAGCTAGGTGCAAACCGCTGCTCCAGCAGCGCAGACACCTTGCCCGTCGAATCCAGCTGGGCGCGGAACGTCGACATGCGCAGGTCGTATTTTGCGCCTACGGTGGCAATCGCATCGCGACGCATGGGCGCGGCAATGACCTGCAGATCTGCCGCGGCCTCCACCTTTTCGCTCAGCTTGTGCCAGTAAGTCGCCTGGAGGACGCCGATGGGCTGGATCTGCGCCGTCGCAATCCAGTTGCCCTCCGTGCCACTGAGCTTGGCAAGATATGACGAGGTCGTCTCGGCCTGGTCGAGCGCGGCCCGCTGGTACAAGGTCTCGACACCCAACGCGAGGTTCTTCGTGACGGACTGCAGGTAGCTGCCGACGTAGATACCCGAGCCGTCCAATGGCGACGGGTTGATGAGCTTGGCATTCACCGTGTAGTCGAGACCCGTGTAGTCGTGCTCGAGCTGAATCATGGTGTGGCCGGGCTGCATCCCCAACTGAACGGTAGCATGGTGAGCTCGGGTGGCTCAAGGCGTGAGAAGTGTGAAACGACGTACCTGCGCCTGCACCTTCGAGATATTCGATGGTGACCAGCTCTGCTGGTAGCGGCCGGAGACATTGCCCTCATGGTCGATGTTTCCTTGGAGGAGAGTCTTTCAAGAATGTCGCGTCAGAAGCATGCCAGGTCACACAACTGAACTTCGCGACCAACCTTGGGATTCGCAAACAATGCACCAAACGAGTACGTGGGCGGGACAGACTGGGAAGCCAGCTGGAACGAGTGGGTGACCTGGAAGGCCGGGTCCATGGAAAGCCCCTTCATGAGGTCGGCCCGCGCTCCATCGAAGATGAAGTTGCTGAGGTGTGTCGCTACGTCACGGGTCAACTTCCTTCCAAGAAGAGCAGGAGGCATAGACTGTACATTTAACCTCCTTCTGGAGGTTCTCCACTGTTCCAGGGTTGGGCAGACCGAGTGCTGTGCGCCAGCTGGAGAAGCGGGAATACACATTCGCGAGCGGGGACAGCACGGTGGGCAGGGAGGAGTTTTGAGAGGAAACCGGGGCCGGAATGTATGCGCCCTGACCGAAGGGTTTTTCTTGGGGGACGGCGGCCATGATGGAAGGAGGAAGAGCCGCGTGAGCGACGACGAGCTGGTTAAACGTGAACGGAGTCGGGGTGCGCGTCTAATACAGGACGCGTCGAAAATGGTCACCAAACAGCGACAAACCCGGCTCACTAAGGATCACTCTCACAATTCCCGAACCATTGGCTACCATTGGTCCTCGACTTGCCCCAGCATTTCGCACTCGTTCGTTCCCGCAAACAAATATATAAAGCACCAGTCTCTCGTATTCTACAATACCAGCAGTATCATCGCTCGAGTGTGGCCGTAACACGGTAAGTAGCCCTCCATTTGTCGTCAATGTTCGTAAGCGTCAGTAGGGGTCGGTGGGGATAGGTATCGCAGGGTAGGGTGCAAAAACGTCAAAAGAGGAAAGTTAGGCTCGATAATACCAAAGCGCTGCTGGCAGCGGAATAGGAAGGAAGATATAAGAGATGAAATGAATATTCAATACAAACCCAGGTCGCGTTCATGATCATCACCGTCAGCCACCCACGCACATACTCACCACCAGTGCTGCGGCGCTTGTCTGTACGCAGCGGGAGGGTAAGCCGGGGGAGGGGGAGGAGGCTTGCGAACAACACGTCTCCTCGGCTCCTCAATAATCTCTTCAACCTCGATAGGCTCTTCGCGAACGACGGTCTCTTCATGTTCGATAAGGACCTCGACAGAAGTCGTCCTGGGCAGCGAGGTGGAGTAGGAAGTTGTGTAAGGCGAAGGGGTGGGATGAGCGACGCGGCGAGTGTTGGCGGGTGGGGGGACGGCGGCAGTCTCATTCGGGACAACCTGGGTTTCGATGTGAACTTGGGTTACGGTACGTGTTGCAGTTTCGATTTCAGTGATGACGACAGGAACGGGAGGAACGACTTCCTAAAGAAGGGGAAGAAAATGCGTCAGCGAGCAATTCTCGAAAGAAATTGTGGGGGATGTAGCCCTGGAGCCATCTGGAACGCGAGACATCTCCGTTGCCAGGACGAGCAGTCGAACCGACAAGCCCAACCCGCACGAGGTTGTCCGGCATGTCACGTGTAGACGCGTCGCCCGATCTGACGATCGAACCAAGATTGATCCCGCTCAACGCGTATCGACGCGTCTTCTACTAGATGGCCCCAGGGCTACAGGGAACGAGGGGGACAAAAGAGAGATGATACGCCGTTGTCCCCCAAGCCCGGACGAAGGAGTGAGGAAGGATATCACAGAGACTTCAACTGACGGAAGTGGGAAAGCGAGACGAATCCGGAACCTCCTTCGTCTCAGAGCTCGGGACGGCGGTAGAGGGGCGGTGGTACCTTGGGTGGTCTGCGCTTGGCTCCAACTGGCTCGTACACGTATTCTTCTTCAACTGCAGATTCGCCACCAAGAGCACTGAACGCGGGGCGTCAGATACGCAAGAGGAATGAAGTCAATTAGGAAACTCACGCAAGCTGCTCCATGATCCAGGCTTCACGACGGGACGCGTCGTGCTCACGGCGGTTGACGGTTTCTTCGCGACGGCTAATCTCGCGTTCACGTTCGGCAATCTTGAGCTCACGGTCGAGGATGTCATCGAAGCGGACGTTGCTCTCTTTCCACCAACCGGGAGGGGTGAGTTCCTTCTCCTGAAAGACTTCCTTGATGACAGTCTGGATAGGAGGGGGCTCGAAGGTAGCCTGGGCAACGCAAGGGGGGCAAGCCGATGGAATGGGGACAGGGCCAGTGCCAATGACACCCCCGGGGGCACCAGCAAGGATTTCGGCTTCGCGACGCGCAACCTCAGCCTCACGAACAGCGATGTTGCTCTCGCGGGCAATCAAGGCCTGAGACCTCTTGGGGGTGAGTACGCTCCATACCCCTTGTGCAGCAGGGTCAGCGGAAGTTGCTGGGTTGGCAGCATTGGCAGCAGCCGAGTTTTGACTGGGGAGGGAGAGCATGACGGCAAGGACCGCCAGGATGAGGGAGAGAACAAGGAG